GGTCAATTTGGAACTCACTGTATAGATCAGGATGGCCTTGAACTCACAGAGATCTGTCTACCTGCTTCTGTCAGCATGTACCACCATGCTGACTCTTACATTTTGTTGTTTCTTTAAAGATTTGTTTCTTTATTATCTATACAGTGTTCTGCCTGCACGTATGCCTGCAGTCCAGAAGAGGCACCAGATCTCATTACAGATGATTGTGCGCCACCATGTGATTGCTGGGAATTAAACTCAGGACCTCTAGAAGAGCAGTCAGTGCTCTTAACCTCTGAGTCATTTCTCCAGCCCCTTGTTTTGTTTTTAAAATATGAGTTTTATGTTTTTTTCACATAAAAGATACATACCTCCTGAACATTTTGTGTTTTTATGACAATGGAATTGAAGACATTTTTTTTCTACTTGTTATCAGTATAAGAAAAATACATTTTTTCTAACCTTTTATTATATTGCATTCATTATATGCAATTGGATAAAATCTCTGCCATTGAGCTATATTCCCATCTCTAAGATGACCATTTGAAACACTATTTTTCTGTTTGGTGGCTTGGGACTGGCAAAGGAGATACAGAAGAGTTATGATTTTTTAAAAAAAGAAGCAAGGATAAAGAAACATATATAACAAAAAATTACATTAACTGAGTATAGATATTTGCATAAAAAGTTATTGAAAGATTTATGATGAAATATTTGGAAACAGCATAAAGATGAGTTTAATGGAAGTATCTGCAGCTTTTAAAGGTAATGATATATACATGTTTAGAACATGTTTTAACTGAAAATTAGCAAGTCTTTATACCTCAAGATGGATTATTTTATATTAATATGATTTTATGATTATAGGCTGTTTTAGTATTGTTTTATAGACATAAGGGAGGAAAGAAAAATTATTTCTACAAGTATAAATAAAGCAACATAGTTACATTCCTTCAAAATACATTGTATTTTTCTTGGAATAGCTATACTTTTATGAGCTTTGGTCATCTTTTTAATTAGATGGAAGAATAATTAAGAATAGCAGTTCCTTCTTCAGATTCTACATGCTACTTTTAGAACACAGATTATTACTGACTCATAATATCCAGAGATCACATTAAACATGACACGGATGAGAGATACAGCACATTAAGGAAATAGGGCATGAGTGTACAACAAGAGAAAGCCCTAGTCAGAGTCTCCTCTACTAGACTTCAGTTCTTCTTTGGTGACAGCTAAGCAGACATGACCACAATTGTTGCCAAGGTCTAAGCTAGTTTCAAGGAAAGTGCTTAAAGCCAAGGAGGGCAGGAACAGTGTTGAAGAGGACCAATTTATTTGTTAGATCAGAAAACTAGTTTCTAATTTACATGCTTGATTTAAGCTTTGACTTGTTGAGATTGGTTTCCTTTGTTTGATTCAGGGTGAGAACTTTGGTTCATCTACCAGATAGGACATCTTGTAGTAAAGATGTAGGACTCTTATAAAGGCAGAGCCAGGTATGGTAGCTCATGCATTTAACCCCAACATGCGTGAAGCAGAGGTAGGTGGATCTCCTTGAATTCAAGTCCAGCCTGGTCTACCAACAAGTTACATGGCCAGCCAGGGAGACCCTGTCTCAGAAAACCATCACCACCATCAACAACAAAACAAAAAAGTGAAAACACAATACAAAATGAAGCAAAAAAAAAAAAAAAAAAAAAAAACAAACAAACAAAAAAAACCTCTGGCAGAATGCTGCTTGCTGGTTCTGAGCAGTCTTCAGATTTATACAGGAACCTGGTAACTGGATGGGCAGATTAAAAATAGCTGGTCTTCCAGGGTTGATGAAGGGGGTTCTTCCATTACTATTGCATGCTGTACTGGCCTGCTACTGGCCAGAAATCTTCTAAAAGAGTCACTCAACCCAGTACCTTCTGCTACTATATTCATTGAAGGGGATTCACATTTAATTGAGGACAATAAGCTGTTTTTCTTAATTTAAAATAAAATTTCATTTCACATACCAGCCCTGTTCCCCCTCCCTTCCCTTCTCCTGTCTCCTGCCTCTACCCCCAATAAGCTGTGTCTTGATTTAAACAGCTTTCTGTTTTCTTTTTTAATGAGACTGGGTCTCACTATGAGGCCCAGGCTGGCCTAGAACTTGTGATCCTCCTGATTCACCCTTCTGACTGCTAGGACTGCAGGTATGTACCGCCATGTGTGTAGTACTCCCTGTTATGGGATATCCATCAAAGAACACTGCTTGGATATGGGTTTAAGGCAATAGAAAGTTTTTATTAGCTGACTTGCAACTAAACTGGGTGTTTGGGATTCCAGTGTAGCACTGAGTCTTTTAAGCTCAGTTTCTTAAAAGGTGTGGTTGACATATTTCATTTAATAAGAAGAGTTATTCAGAAGTGAAACTACAGAAACCAAAAGGCAAGATTAGTACATTTAGAGACTTTCCCAGAACTATGACCTTTGATGGATTAGGTCTTTGTTTCCATTTTGGCAGGTGTGGTACTATGCTCTGTGTTTTATGTCTTGAATGGTTATTTCATTCATGGTGTCAGTTGTGATAAGGCCTGGGGCCTACTAGGATCTGAGGGCCTGTTACACTCCCCCCCATTTTTTTTTTACATTTTCATATATATTTATTTGCTCTTACTTATCCTCCTCCTCCCAAGATTGCCCAGTTTTTTAAAAAATGTTTTTATTTTTTGAAAATCTCATACTTGTATATAATATATTTTGATCATATTTTCCAGCCAGTCCCCCCCCACCCCTAGTTTCTTCTGGACAAAACTGCTCCCCC